TCAGACCAAACATTTTCGGTCGCTGTTCTGCTACACAACTCCCCGCTCGACACCCGAACAACAAAAATATATGACGTGAGATATAGGGGATGCGGAGGTAGGGTGGTGTAAGAAGAGAACCATGGAGGCAGCCTCATGAAAAACGAAAAACGGTTTCAAGCCAAAGCAAGTGATCAAATGTGCGCCAATGCATACACGGTCGTGCCTTCAGTTGTTCTTGAAGGCACACACACACACACGTAGCTGAGTCCGCAGACCACAACCGCTTTATCACTCTAGTTCTCTATGCTGTGACTCTGCACTCACTTTGAAACGCCTCCATCGGGCCAGCAGGCCTTCATGTGGCCTTTCAGGGTCGCCACGTCCATGCCGGACAGGTCACCGATCGCCTTCCCCTCCAGCCTCTCGATAAGGAGAGCGTCATTGCCTTGCTCAACGAAGGCGGTGTTGTTGCTTCCCTTCAACACCCCACGCTGCGTCTTGTGGAAGATCTTCGACAGTCGGATGTCTGGCGACACCTTTCCAACCGTCTCCTCGGCCCCGACAACAAACTGTACCCTCGTGCCGCCGAACCAGGCCGGCGATACCATGCTCAACTGCAGAAGATTCATGACGAGGTCAGTGTTAATGTCTTGCTCAGGTCTCGACGCGATCACCTGCCCCAGAGTCACGAAGTTGCAGGCGATCTTCATGCAGGCGTCGAAAGTGAGGATCGGCGGAAACTTCCCCCACATCCAGCACCGAAACTCGAAAGTGTGGTCGATGAGGGCCAGGAACGCCAAGAAAATGTTGTTGAGCACATTGAGCAAGCTGGTGCCGTTTGCGAGCCTGGACGTGGAGGTCATGCGCGAAGAAAAAATCGTCGGCAAAATGCGGTTGTTTGTCACGATACACATTCTGTTCAAACTTCAACAAGAAAAAAATCCTGCACCAAGCCCCCCCCCTCGATGCAATATTAACACATTTTTCGACAACAACGAACCGCTTCGCATGCTAGCAGAGTAGAGTGGGCACTACGGATTTTTTTTCTACTTCAAGTAACAATTAGAATCCCCGCGGAGGAAATGGTGCGATGGGTGGTGCCTAGAATTCGGCAAAGAGAAAGATCTTCAGATCGCCAGCTTAGGAGGAGGTCGAAGTGGAAAACAGGATCGATTATTATCTGAGTTTTTGCAGAATGAGGAGCCCCTGGTAGTTTCGGTATCCAATGCGACCATGCCATATTTTCCGCTGCGAGACACGCCTCAGTAGCTTGCTACACCGCCAGGTAAACAGCGATTGGTAAGAAGGATGACTATGATAGGTGGGCCTTGACAGACACATTTATATAGCAAGGTGGAACATTACATTTATTTACCTATTGCTGAGATCAGGGTTCGCCTTGATCCAGACCAGGTCACTCGCCAAAGGTTCTAAAAACGTCTCGAAGAAGGCGCTTATAGTCGTACCCCTGGTGAAAGCCTCCAGTCATGTGTACAGGACAAAAAGCTCCACCAGATAGCTGTTGTTGTAGTTGAACAAACCAGTCTCCCGCCAGTTGTCACTAGCCAATCCGTGGATACCGCACGTCTCACACTCGTTTGCGTGCACGTTCACTTTCGACATGCCTGGCCCCTGCAACAAGACACACATACATAGCATATTGTCAGCAGACCGATGTATCGTACTCGGCGGGTAAATCTCGCATGATCACCAGCGGTTTCGTTCAGGATGGCGACTCCAGGATTTTGGAGAAGGTCGGGCGATTGCCACCGATTCACCCCTCTTTTATGAGCATGCGGGAGAGTGTGCACGGCCTGTCGACACCCACAAACAAGACGTGGGGGTGCCCACCCTATTTTCTCTGATTTCCGCTGCCATCAAACATGGTACTCGACGGCCGGCGCCAACAGCATGAATGCTGCCACAAGTACTGCCACAACAATAGATACAACAATGCAGTGCGGCGTAGGACAACTATCTAGCCTGCCCAGGAGTGGATGAGGGTGGGGGCATCTAAAATGTTTGCCTCCGGCACACACGCTGTCGACTTCGCTCATACCCACAAGGCGAGCCGCATGCTGAGCAGGGTACTGCCACAAGTTCCCACAGACATGCTGCACTCACCTCTGTCAACCGAGTTGCAACCACGGTAAGCTGATTCTCCGTAGGGAAGTCACGACCACACCCTGAACACGTCTTCTGAGATGTAGTGTAAGTGATGCTGGCGTTTGCGTTCGTGGTGGCACCACGACGTCCCAGGCCGAAAGGGAGGTTCTCCGGGAACTTGTAGACCGACATGGTGTTCAGGCAGTTTGCCAAGCCCTTGCGATACGCCGGTGCATCCTTGTCGAGCATTTTTTGCGCCGTGCGCGGCGTTCCGTCTGGAATTCTACCTCCATCCACGTCTACCTGCCCGACACCCAACCCTTCATCTCGCATACCCTCCTCTTGCCAAAGGGCAAGGGCGACCACCAACGTGTGAAGACACTTTCGGTTCTTCTCGTACTCGCGACAGGGTCCCCCCCGGTTTTCCTGTGCCGGGTACATGTGCGACGTATGCATACGACATTGGTGCAAACGTATTTCGCGGAGGGACGTAAGATTGGACAAGGTATCAATCGGCGGTACCTTGAGAATAGTGCAATCGACGGTGCTTACCCCCCGACAATGTGAGCACAATGTCGTACTCCCCCCCCCC